CCTTCACACTGAACCCTAAACCCTAAACCCTAAACCCTAAACCCTGACTTGCACATGAATGCTTGAGTCGATCACCGGACCTGAACCCTAAGAACCCTAAACCCTAACCGCCGTCAAGCCAAACAAACCAAAACCGCCGAAAGCTTCAACGCTGAACCCTGGAATGAATAAACAACGAAAGCAAAAACCCGAAACCGCACAAATAATGTCTCAGACCCTGAACCCTAAACTCCTAGTACCTGAGAACCGTTCCCTGCGGCATCCTCCCAAAATGAAGATGAAAACCCTTATTAAACGGGACAAACTGAAGTATATCCTCTACAACAAGCATGTTCAGGACCTTTTCAAGTCAAAGGCCGAAAAAGACAAAGCCCAGTTCATTGTTCAACCCCAAAGCTCCTAGAAGCCTGCAAGCCCAACACCCTATCTCCTAAACCCGAAACCGCTTGAACCCCAATGCCCTACTCCCTAAACCCTAAACCCTAAACCCTAAATCCCTAAAGCCGTAAAACACCCTGAGTCCAACATCCCAAGTCCCTAAAACCCTACTTACTAGGGTTTAGGGTTTAGGGTTTGCTACAGGCGCCCTACAATTAGAATAAGGTTTTGGGGGCTCCTTGTTTATGATCATAGCATAATAGACCCCAAAACCCTATGCCAATTATAAAGGCCCCTAAACCCTAAACCCTTATAGTACCCTTAAAGGAACCCTTAAAGGAATGCTATTCTTTTTCTTAAGGCCCCTATACTAAGCCTGAAAAGCCCTAAACCCTAAACCCGTATAGTACTCTTAAAGGAACCCTTAAACGAAAACGTTTCCAATTCTTAAAGCCCTTATAAAAACGCCTGAAAAGCCTTCACAAGCAAACCCTTAAAGGAACCCTTAAAGGAACCCTTGAAGGAACCCTATTCTAATCCTATATTGAACCCTAAACCCTAAACCCTAAACCCTAAACCCTGAACCCCTAAGCCTGAAAAGCCCTCACAAGCCTGGTCCACGGCAGAGCCAACTCGGCCCCCGATCTCCGACACAGCCCCCGCCCCATCCTCCACGCGAGAGGAAAGGTATCTAAGGTGGGATTTAGGGTTTAGGGTTTAGGGTTTAGGGTTTAGGGTTTAGAGCACAGCCCGTACTGGTCGGAACTGGCAGAGCAGATCGGAAGAGCACATGTC